GTTTAATGTCAAAGTCTGTGTTGTGAAGAACCTTATGATGGTGTCATTTACATCCATCTACTCCACACAACATAGGTTGACGGCAGTCCGTTGCTCGATGATTGGGCTTTAAACAATGAAAATACAGCTTAAACTTCTTCAGTAATTCTAGATTTTTGTTGTGACTTACTTCTAGCAACTGTGGACATAATGCAACTGCGTGGGCATCAGAGCAGATTACGCAATATACTTTTCCTTTGCTTGACAAAGTATGGACCTTAGCTCTAATAGAGACAGGCTGGTTGTTCGATGTCGTTTGAACTTTGTAGCTCCCACTTACCAACTGTCCACAAGTTTTCGTCGCGATTGACACTTTCTTTTCTAGGAATTGCAACAAATCATCGAATTTGTGTTCTAACCCTCCTCTTAAGATATCGTCTGTGGCTTCTGCCCATTTAAACGGTGTGGTTCGTGGCAATCGTTTTATTATTCGTTTTATGTTGGTCGAACAATTCAGGTCGGCATTTCGTCCCATCTGTGACAAGGCCACTTTACAATTGGTCATGATTCTTGTTAGTTTCTGCAGCCCTGCCACATCGTCCTGGCTCAGTGGTGATCCGTTTAATAATTCTGTTAAAAACGCTTCTACGATATCATGCGGTCTACCAAACTGCTTGTGTAGAATACTAACTACTTTAGTGTAACCTTCGTCTTCCGGTGATGAAACACATTAATCGCTGAGTGTCATCTTTTACTCTGTCGGCGATGTTAGCCTTGAGTCCCTTCATGAATGTCCAAAATTTTGGAGGACTTCCGCCGAATTTCATGATCTCTTTCTTCGGTAGGCCTGCCGTCATAAATAGCGACCTGATACTATCTACGTGTGCTTTGAGTTCCATCTCATCGCGCATAGCCGTATTGGTATATCGGTGACTTGCAGTAGCTGTGGGGTTTACGTCTTTGGATCGAGAACCAGATAACTCGGTAATCTTACTTGATTTTCTCACTTTGTTTAAAGGTTTTGGTGTTAATTCCAATAGTCGCTTATGAAGCTGAAGCTCTCGAATCTCTAACTCAATCTTCTCTACCTCTTTTTCCCTAGAAACGTCTTCGTCTTCTATTCTACATTCAGTCTCTACATAGGTATTTACTAAAGGACAGCTATCTTTGGGGTTCGGTTTAATATCATCAAAAGCAAGATTTAAAGGAGTAGGTGAGTTCACCTTAGAAACTGAAGTTGTTGTAATCGATATCATTCCTCAGAAACATATGCTCCATTTTGCTAACCCGTAGAATATCTGGCCTTCTGTATTTTCGTATGATCTTCTAGTAAGATCTTGTTCTGGTTCTACACTCCTCTGAGTCGCTGAACCTCCTATATCTATATCGTCCAGGAAGATTTCCAACGCCGAGCCCATTTTCTAAGTTTTCTCTAAAGTGCCAAAAGTTGGTTGTCATGACGTATCTGCTGTTGATTTCGACTTCCACCACATATATTACACTCCTTCGTCTCCTAAGTATGAGTCCACTGGTCGAATGCGAAGGCGAATATCGGAAATCATGGACGTATACTCTCTGGTTGTTTGGAAATATAATGTTTCGCCACACGATGGTGATCAAATTGGGTCCCTCTTCTAGAGCTATGTTACTTTGGTTTTACAACATCAAAAGCAGTTTTAATTTTCTTAACAAACATAATTTTAGCCCCAGTTAACTGATTAGGTACTAATGGATTGAAAGTTGTTCTGTAGACAAATAAGAACCCATTATGGATTTCCTTTATCTTGCCTCTCCTGTCGCCCTCCGTAGTGCTCTTTTAAAGACATCCACAAACCTTTCAACCTGAACATTCTATTGAAGATAGTGTGGCAGTGAACAAACATGTTGAACTCCAAATCTGCTGCAGAAATCTGGGAAGATGAAGGTAGTAAATTGAGTGACATTGACCGACACTTGAGCATCTGGGACTCCAGAACGGAAAAATACCTGCTGAAATTTCATAATAGGGTCCCGCGAAGTGATTTGGTTCATTTAGAGAATTTCCGGCAATTTCGAGTAGGTATCGATGCAAACGAGGTAATACATAATTTGAAATGTGCCTGCAAAATCAATATGAATACGTAATCAGGGTTCTTTTCGAGGTGACCAAGAATATGGTCTCACTTTATGTGGACATCTAGAGAATGCAGCACAATTTCTGCACATGTTCAACAAATCTTTGATGTGCCTGTCGACGTTAGGCCAATGTACATAGCTCCCAGCGGGAACCTTCGTTCTTTTAATGCGTAGACGAACAGTGTGCAGTCGTTGCAGGACGAGAATCAATAAAGATATTCCCAGCAAGATGGGATCGGATATATATATAAACGGATCCCAGCAATCTTTCCAAGCAGACAGTCAACGGTTAACCGTCACACTGAACCACTCCGTGACTTTAAGCCTAGTTAAATGCGACCTTATTGTCAATAATCCGATAACATGCAACAGAAATTTAGGTAGCGAGAGGTAAGTCTTTAATGAAAGTCACATAATAAAAGCCTAGAGGAGGGAGACTGAAGAACACGAAGTGTAGTTAAAAGAGAACTGAATAAAGGTTAAAATACACCACAGGATAAAGAAACAAACAAATGATAGTACTGTCCAATAAAATATTGTCGAAGGATTTTCAGCGTTTTCTTTCTATTACAGCCACGATACCGACAAGCACAATCCATTCGTTCACAATGGATATCTACAGTTATGTTTGATAATTTTCCTTTCACACATGATATGTTACACGTGGAGGCCGACCGCATCGGATAAATGTAACCGATTGATTCAAGGTAGGATCACAACAAGTGCGATTGGCGATCCGAGTAAATAACACTGAAAGAAGTTGCGTTGCATTCACCAACATGATATTTTTGACAACCATTGGATTAGTTTCATTTTACGTTGTTAGATAATAAATGATTCATAGACGATGCAGTCGTGGCAAAATCTTGCTGTAATTAGTGACAAGGCCAAGGAATGAACGATGTGTTGCAGCATTAGATGAAGGAAGAATACATTGGATATATCGTGAGTTTTCCCAATCTTGAAAATGAAACCAAGGTATTTTAACGAAACCATGAAAAATGAACGCTATTTTTCTATTAGACAGAATCCATGTTCAAATATTTTGATCAGAATAGCACCGAATCGAGTAAATAAATCGGACTTACTGAAACCTGTAACGATTAAATCATCTGAACAGATAGTAACTCTTTGAAAATTCGTCCACCATCTGTTGGAGAATATCTGGCGCTGGTTTTACACAGAAAGGTAAACAGTATGAATTCATTTTATTTCGTTAGAACCTAACGAAATAAAATGAATTCATACTGTTTTGCACCAACCTTTATTCTTGCTCTCTTTAAGATCAATTTTAGCAAAATCCTTCCATCTGTTTAATTTGATAGACAAATCTTCATGTACGGGAAGTGGATAGGTATGGTCCTTTAGAGCATTCTTCAGACTAACGGAGAAGTTAGTAAATAATCGGACACATTTTTCTCTCTCACAACTAGTATGGTAGCGGCCCACGGAGAATAATTTACTGACTGAGTAACACTTGGAGTTTCCATTCTGTTTGATTTTCGATCAACGACTGATGGAGCAGCACGAGACAGTGATCGTTTTGTCTTAGTGGCAGAAATACTTTCGGAATACGACCGCATGTTTTTGCCGAAAATAACTTACGTGAGACGCGGCCGACATTTTGTAGGAAACAGAGAACTTTTGTATGGAAACATCTGTGTAAAAAATAAACGGGATTTCGAAATAATATGAGAACGTATTCCATTGAAGATAATTGATTTGAAATCATTCTGTGGACACATTGCATTGAAGGCACTTGCTTCAGAAATATTGTAGAAAATTTAAACGTACGTCTCATGAGAACACATTTCACTTATTAAATTATTCAAGTTATTAATCTTCTTGATCCAGTCTAAGCCTAATAGATCCAAATCATACCGAACCGTCGGATAAAAGACATCAATGAATCTATGTATTTTGAATTGTACCCCGCGTATGTTTTCGCCTGTTAGCCCCAATAAATCTCCAGAGGCATTTCGAGCAACATAATTGGTTGATTGAATGAGTAGACATCCTAGCTTAAAACACTTGCTTTTAGAAATCAACGTGATGTCTGAAGCCGCATTTAACTGAAGACGATTAGGTTTTTCATTCACAACTACGTTTACATACTTCTTTTAATTTAAAAGCCAACTTTTAAAATCGCGAACGTGCTCTTGATCTGAATCTGTGAATGTCGTTTCACATTTCCGCAGCGACATTACAGTATCAGAACCCACAGATAACTACAAATCGACTAAAGCTAATGCAGTCCAATGGCTACACTACCACTCATCAGACATTTTCAGAGACATAAAGCCTCACAGAAACAACAATAAAAAGAGCTCAAAAAGATCAATCGGTTAGTTTGTGATTGTGTTGAACATATTGTATATTGAATATCAAATAGTACCACAAAGACCGAATAAGCCGTTACTCTTAAGCATGTTTGATAAACATGCTAAGTCCGATGAGCAGTTACTACTGTATGTCTCTTAGTTTTTATCTCGAATAAATGTTAGTGAACAGGCGAAATTTATCTCTTCCAGGCGTGCTGCAAATTCGTCAAACACCATGATGGTTTGTTCTGACAATCGCAGAAAGTCGATATCACCTGATTATGTAGCATCAGTAGGTAAATATAATATTTCTTTTGAGTAAGAGTCATCAAAAAGAGGAAACAAAAACTCCCTGCTTCTTGCCGACTATTGTTGTAGGTCTATTTCCGGTTTTCTGATTATTTTAAATCAATTGATTGTTCCTTAAGGAACACCCAAGTACACTATCTGGAGGGGACGTTACAAAAGCTCACCAGTCATTTTGCGAGGTGAATAACTCTTCTCAAAAATTCAGAATTCCCAAAAGTATCTTTGGACAAGAAATGGAGCGTGCTGGCTTTACAAGGTCCACTTTCAACCAGTCCCATGGTTCAGCTTCTGAACAATCTTCTAGTCATTGTAAGACTGTTATAGCTTATTTTGAAAGTGGAGTGTCTTAATTATTTAAAGGAAACCGGGCCACAGATAATAACGGGTGCTGGTCTTGGAACTAGAGCTAACGAAGTTGAAAGAATACATCAGGAAAACTTGGAACGTTTATCCCAACTCACTGAGGAAGAAATACTGGAAGAAAGAGAAAAAATTTTGTCCCTCGCTGGTGAGTTGATATTTTGATATCAGTGCTATAGTAACATAAAACCCTTACATTGAACCTGTAGTGTTTATTAAAAGTGAGATTTAAAGCCTGGGACTAGGTTCTTCCTGGCAGTTGCAAGGGTGACTTCCCATATAAATGTACCATTTTCTCGATTCCTTGACTCTTTGATCGGTCGTTTAACTTCTGCGCAAATACATCAGTACATCCAACAGCCTCGTATTGCTCAGTATTTTTCTTCTAGGATCCTCGCATGCAGTTCTTCATCATCAGTAGATTGATTTAATTGTTCGATTAGCTACTTCATATATTCTGATCCTTTGATCAACACTTGCTTAGTAGAAGTTATCTGTTATGAAGTGTATATGTTAGAATCTTTGTCTCTAATCTATATCAGTGGGAGGAACTAAATGTATGACCAAGGTGGTATAAAGTCAACAAATCACCTATCAATTTAAGGATCTCTGTGTACTTCTATTGTCTAAGCTTCATGAACATTTCACCCAAATTAAAGTTTATTGATGTTATTTCAAGGGTGTTCAAATTAGTTCACTAAATATAAGGATTGTAACGCTAAATAGTTGTGTTGTTTTATGAGATTTTACACTTTCGCCACCTGAATTTATGGTCTGCATATCTCAAAAGTGAGAAAATGAGGTGCATAAGATAATGGTAGTGACCGGAACGTTGTTTAGAAAGGGAGGTTAAGTGGTTAAACATGAGCTTCAAATATTGCGTCGCGAGTCCGAACCCTGACCCATGTCCTTCGGGCGAAGTTGCCGGGTGTTTTCATCTACATTCATATAAAAATCGAACTCAGAACTAATTAAACGAACACGCATGTGGTAAATGAATTTTATTACAGTGATTATTGAAGCAAATTAATTTTCCTACCTATTCTCTCTTGGTTAGCTCAGATAAGGGCTTTTAATTGATAAGTTTAAATAGCATTATGACAGTAAAAACAAAGAATTACCCAAACTGCCTATTTTGTGACCAGCTGATCACCCTAACGCTTTCTAAAATTTGATGGTTTTTTGTTTCTATATGTGCTATGTTGTGGATGCACAAACCTATTTGTAAAACTGTTATGTTTGTTTTTAGTGTCACAACTTATTCATCTATTTTAGATCCCAACGTCCTCTCATTTTTGATACGAAAAGGCCGTAATGTAAAAAATGCAGGTAAGCCTAATTTTTGGGGTTCTCCGTGATAATTTTCGGAGGTAGTGTATTACTTCTTGAGATGAGAAGTGAAGGAAATGTGTGTTGGTCTACCAGAGCTTGGCGTTCTAAAACCTCGTTATAGTAGTTCGTAAATAGTACATTTCAGCTCAATTTTGGCTGAGCTGTTGTTCACACTTGACTTAGTATTAATATACCTCTATTCGGTTTGGTTTTTCAAAATGTTCTATATTTCTATTTTTCAATTAGAAGGTACTAAATAAATATTTTACACTGCTTCACCTATCTTGGGAGTCTCATCACCCCTTGTGGTCAGGTGTGTGACGAAGTCTCAGCACGGATACAGAGGGCACGACTAGCTTTTGCCAACTTGCGTCATTTATGGCGTGGGCGAGATATCCGTCTACCAAACAAAGGACGGGTTTACTGCGCAGCAGTTCGTTCCGTCCTACTTTATGGCAGTGAAACATGGCCGGTAAGAGTAGAGGATATTCGTAGGTTACTAGCATTCGATCACAGGTGTCTTCGAAACATTGCTCGTATATCCTGGGACCACCGAGTAAGTAATGCGGTTGCTAGGAAACTAGTACTAGATAAGGATGGCAAATCAATTGATGAAGTGGTGAAACTTCATTAGTTGAGATGGCTGGGACACATGTTACGTATTCCCAACCACCGACTGCCCCGACGTGCGATGTTTCCTGGTGTAGGAGTAGGTTGAAAGAAAGCTAGGGGCGACCAGACCAAAACATGGCACAAATCCTTGAAGTCACTGACAAGTGAACTGAGCTATGTAGGTAAGTGTAGACTACCTGGTTGAGATCCGTGAGACGATAAGAACCGATGGTTAGAGACCTTGAATGACATGGCTCAAAATCGTTTGCAATGGCACAGGTGCATTCACTCTTTGTGTTCTCCCAAACTTTAATCTGAATTCTTCATGTCCCTTTTTTCTCTTTCCGAATTCATTTCACTGGATTATACTCGTTGAATAGCATCTTCAAACCCTAATCTTTCCAATTACTGCTAATACTTTTGCTACCTCTACCACTATGGGATTTGAATCGACGTCTGCATCTCTGTTCTAGTGTGGTATGGCAACTCAAAGTGATGTAGGGACGTACGAAGTTCTACATTGTTACTGGCTGACTGACTCTTAAATAATATGAAAACTTAAGATTGTATAGTTGAAGTGTTTTGTCCGACTTGATCTACATCTGGAAGTGAACAGATGTATAAAGGAAAGTTAACTAAGTCTAAAGGACTGCATTTAATTGCTTACGATTGTATTTTATCTTTTGATAACCATCCTAAAGTCCTTGAAATTAGATAATTCTCCCTGAGATTTTTATGAACTAATATTAGTATGTAAAGCGTGAATGCACTGATTCAATGCCTGATTTGAAAATATCTTTTGATTTCTACCCCTAGGAGGTAATGAGAAGTCCTTATATAATTGAAGTCAACGAACATTGTGTGCAATAACGCTTGATGCGTGTCTTTTCAATCTGCTCTTACATTATTCACCACACATTTTGGTGTAGTGTAACACAATCTAACATCATTAATTAATCCAGGCCTTTAACTTTACCGTATGCTCAGAATAGGAAACAACCATACAATCAGTTAATAATTAAACAGAAAATAGTACTTAGTTTATGTCAGAGGAACCTCAACTGAAGTGTTGATTACTACGTGCTGCATAAAGTATGGCTGAAACCTTAAGTTACAGGCTGTTAAATTTAAGATAAGAATTTTTAGGATTCTATTACGGTGATTTGATGAGTTCAAACAATTTTTACCAACCCTAGATATAAAGGATTTCGAAAGGCTGATAGAGCACCTATGTTTACACTATTCAGTTCCTATAACTACTGAGTAAATGTTTGTTTCGTCAAATCGTTCTACTAATCAAATGCTAACTACTTTCTTTTAAATGTGCCAACTATTCTTGACATCGTAGTCCAAGTTTTAGATTGATCCCCAAAAGTTTTGACATGGGTATGTTCAATATGTGTTTCTAAAGACGATTTTTCTTCATTTCAGATACTGTTAAGACACGTTATGAAATGCAAGAGTTGTCAAATAAACCAACAGACTCCGATATCTCCAGTTTGCCTTTGAATCCAGATCCAAAGATACTTCATATGGATGTCTTAGAAGTTGATAAATTGGAATGGACACGAGATCTTCCCCCTGTAGCTAAAAAGGCACCATCTGTAGAACTATCCAGAACAAATGTAAGTAATAGTTTTCTTATAGTTGTAGTTACTGTGTCGCTTTTATCCGTGAAATTGTGGATTAATAGTTTGGTAACTCGTCCTTCATCCATTATCTGTTCGATTACTACTAATCTGCCACTCCTGCCTATGTTTATGAAGCACTGAGGAACAAGTACTCACCCCAAGCATAGCAGAATTATATATTCATTACAAAAAATTAATTTACACTTCTTACGCCTGTATAAACGGGTTTACAGATTTTTTTTGAAGTACGGACAACGTATAGTACTTTGTTTATCTATTTGTTTAAACACATTGATATAAGGAGGCACCATAATATGTATGCACTATACAATAAGGAAATAGAATTGTGAAGAAATAAAAAAGGTTAGCATAGCTCATGTAAGGAAAGTAAATAATTACAGCAGGACAGTTGCTAGCTTCTATTCTGAGCCATATTTGATGACGTCTTAAGTCAGTGTCGCACGATCTCTACGATTCGAACAAGAGAATTATGAAGGACCGACAGATGTCAGTCCTCTAAAGCTTTATCTAGCATCACAACACGATGTCATGCGTTGACCACTTCTCTTTTCCCACCACGTTGTGGAATTCACTGAGACCACATTTCTAGTACGTATTCAAGCCACCGAAGTCGATGTTTCGAGATGGTGATACTAATTGAATTATCGTCGCAGTTCCCGAACACACTTTGTTGGACATATTCACTACTAACATGGTGTTGTCAGTTAGTGTCAATAATCCTTCAGATCAAACACAGTCGCCTAACATCCTCAATTTAGAAAGATCAGGTTTCCCCTTTACATAGAGCAAAACTATTCTCATCGACGCGTTTTGAATGCGATCTTTCATAACATGACTAACATCTTGAAGGGGCCAAAGATGATCCAGATTGGAATAAACCGCTCCGGCGTTTACTCTACGTGAATCGATCCCATAACTCACATCACTACTAGTACTTACACAGCTACCCAGATACACGAAATTGTCGTTTCGCTTTAACTGGTCTCCACCAAAAGTGAGTGAAGGGACAGGTTCCTCCCAGTCTTGTAAAAGTACTTTATACTTAGAAGGTGCAAAGCAGATGCGATATATACGGGCGTTGATACTAAAACTTGACTCACATGTTATAGTTCCCAGAGAATTTATTCTAAGATAAAGATCTGTATATGACCATTCATTACCAAAGCATCTGTATCCTCCCAAAATCTCTTGACAAGTAGATATCATTTGCTCAAATTAATTCAAAATTGTACTTTGCCCAAAAAACTTATTTCAATTAATCTATCAAAGCAAGCTTTGCGATACATACAGAATACAGAAAGGTGACGAATGATTTCATTTAAAAAATTTGAGAATAAATTTATTCACAAGCATCTAACGATCAGGAACAATTTTTATTCCTTGTATGTCATTACCATACTGTGCTGTTCCTATGTAGTAGTTTAAAGTAAAATGTTGATCACAAATTATTGCAAATTACCATTTTTATTGGATTTCATTCAGTCCGCAAATGAAACATCATCAGATCATTTAGAAACTAATGACCATGAAATTGGAAAGTATGAATGCGGACGTAATACGCATCAAGCTCGTTTTGATTTATCAGGTCTAGTTGTCCCACCTGATGCTGATGTGGATACTTATCTGGGATTGCATCATCATGGTGAAGAACCAGAGGTAAGCTTCGTGCTTATTTGTCGTAGTTGCCTACTTTTGTAAATAATATGGATAAGCGAAAAATGATTATTGTCGTGAAGAAATCTGGTAACTTTTAATTTATGTATTGTTACCGTTGTGTACACTTATGTGAGGATCATCGATTAATAAATGTTTTCATTCTCGCTTATGAGGTTAGGGAACTTTTTGGTATCAGTTGTTTAACCATTAGACTCCTGGTTTGCGTTCCAGTAGTATACTTTCACGATGTAGCGCGATGATCGTCTAGTGCTGTTGCTGACAATTGTTTCAATTCTTACGTATTTGAACTTCATCCATCAAAACGTCCCACCAGAACTTCAGAAACTAATGAGAAAATCGCTATAATATTAATAAAAGGGGTTATATGGAGATTTTTTAAATTTATAGATGGTATCTATTACAGGTGCTCATTCATCTTATGCCGTTTGATAGCGCGGGTCGGCATACAAGGGAGATTTTAAGAGGTTTTAAAATATTTTGGAAGACATATCAATATAAATAAATAATATATTTGTAATATCCCAATGAGTAGAAAATTAGATTTTCTGACGTTTCGTGGCTTAGTGTAAGTCACTTCTTCAGAGAATAAATAGTTACACGCTCATGAAATAATCACACTATATTTGAGTTACACCTTATGACTCCATTGTCTTTGCTAAAATATGTACTGTTTTAACATCCACTATATTCCTGAATAGATAAAAAGTGTAACTGTTATTTTTCATAGGTTACTTTTGATTAATTCATCATCTCGCCAAATAAAATTCAAGATTAAGGATAACAGAAACTTAACATTAATCTGCGTTTATTTGTATTCATTTATTTTCACAGGTACATTTTTTTACATTTAAGCCTCTCTACATTAACCACGCCACACTTATCTCTTATGTTGTTATATTTGATTTCATTTATAGAGAGCCGGTTATACTATTGCCGAGATGTTCCATTTATGCCGTTCGGGCGTACCGGCTCAACGTCGCCTTGCTCTATCAATGCTGGGGTCATCTTTGGTTCAAACACGTTTTGGCAGACATATTCGTTATTTAGCTCCAGCCAACTCGCCTAGTTTAATTATATGTCTATTGTCATCTAAAAACTTCTCTCCTGAGATTCCGAATGAAAATCAAAATGGAGGTTGCGGTGGTATTCTCTTCTTGTTGCGATGGTGTTTAGACGAAGCAGTCAGCACACTTACCAGTACTAATTCTGTAGGTGGAAACAAGGATGCTGGTGGGGCATCTTTAGCTTTAGTTACTGAGTGTATTCGTTGTTTGGCTAATTTAATTTGTGATACTCAATCAGAGGTTAGTTAAATTATGATTTATGGCGTCTTTTAAGTCTTCTTTATATACATCAATGTCGTAATTAGTACAAACTGTCTTTGGATGAAACAATTTTTGACTTGTCAACTACTATGTTGTGAATTGAAATTGGGTTTGGCAATTAGAGAACGATGAACGATTGAGAAATTCTAATTTGAGACGGGATCTATACTAACTAGTAGACCGGATGACTAGTGGACAACACTTCAACTATAGTCCTCTTCACAATTGGAGTAAAAAGGAATCTTGCCAAGATGTATTGGTGAAGGCCCCCAGAAGTAATAATTTCCACCCAAATTGTCTCAGTTATATATCAAGTCAATAATTATCGATCACAAGCTTCCATAAGCTGAATAACTGTCACTGAACACAAAGTTACAGTGAAATAATAAAAAAGGGAAATACATTAAAAATCAAGTGATTAATTACAACTGAAACTGTACTAAACGTCAGTGAAAAGAAATTACTCGAAATAATTTAATGGAATGAAATGCGTCTAAGTTGGCCAGATGTAAATCACCTTAAATGGATATGTGAATCCTAAGGTTAGTGTTCTTCCTCACATGTTGTATTTGGGGAATGTCATATCTCCAACACACCTTGAAGTTTATTTGCGAAAGTGTTGTGGCGGTTATGATAAGGTTTCGACTGATGATTGTTCAATAATATCTTGGACTACTATCAAATGCTGAAGTTTTATAACAGTCGTAATATACTATGCTCACTCTCAGGGAAACATAAAGAAGTTACAGTTCTTACTACGTAAATTGGATGGGAAGACACCATAGTACTTTATATGTTCACTAAATTCCCAGCAGCAGGGGTTAAGAAAAATACCTTAAGTTTGCAACACTGTTTATTTAAGACAGTTTTACGTGAGGATGAGCAGAATATAATGATTGAAACTGACTTTTCAAAAGTCTATACTTCTCAGTTCTTGTTAATGTTTTTAGCTTTTTCTCAACTATGCATATGAATGGCCAATTGAATTTATTTACAAAAGTTGTCTATTTATTGCTCCACCAATTAAACCAATCAATACGAGTGTAACTTCTCAGCAGTCAACTGGTGAAGAGCATGATGATAGTGAATTAGCTGCTAATGATCCCGTTGAATTCCTGTTTATACGCTCAAAACTAGCAAGAAGAATTGCTTGGTTGCTCGCTCCAGGTAAAGGTCGTGCCGGTGTATGTTTAACGGCTGATGCTGCTGGACTTTGGTTGCCAAGTATGATCATTCGGGGTTTACGTCATTCGTCTTCAACAGCGTATGAAGTAAGCGTTTTATTTCTTAAATTGGTGTTCCAGGAACATTTGTCATATTATTATCGTCTAATTTTGAGTTTCGATGTTTCTATAGTGAACCATATCAGTTGATATTTCCTTAGGTTAACTTATATACAAGTTAATCCATGGACGGAAATGGTGTATATAATATCATTAAGTTTGTCTTGACCTTCTTGAGATTCTTTTGTAGACTGAATTTTCATTATTTTATGTAGATCTTTCGTACACCAGAACTAGTATCCGCTCTTTTGATGCACTATCTTCCAGTCAATGAATACCGACATTACAACAAAGGGATTTCAAACACCAAACGTCCTAATCATTTGTCTTCAGTAAACAATATTCCACTACCATCCATAATGCGTTTATGCCGTATTTGGATCCAAGTTTCGGATAGTATTTTACTGGCATTTGTAAGTTATTTCAAAGATTTCTATAACTTTTCTACCAAATATCATACTGTTCTGTGAATTAAAATATGATTTCCAAATACGTAGATTCTTCCTAGAAGACTTTAACTAGTTTACTGTAATTTATATGTGTAACTAAACATATAATCGATCTATAAATTTATCGCTTCCTTATTCTTACATATAATGCCGTATGCATTTGTTGCCTATAAAAACGTTTATTGACTTTTCTATCATTTTGCTCTCATTTATAAAGCCTTTTGTTTAAGATCTCCATTGAATGATGAGTAATTAAGTGTATACATTTTTCTTCTGAACACTGTCATACTACTCTAAAAACTTTCATAAACTTTATACTTTCTTTACACAGCTGCTATCTAATCACGTATTTGTATGGACTTCACTAAATATAGACTTTGAAGTTGTATATTGTACGTTAAAAGTAAACCTCTACATTATTACTGATTTACTTCATTAAATATGTTTACTTTACAGTTACGAAATTCCTTGAATATCATATTTTATTAGTAAGTTCCCAATAAATATATTAAAATCCAAATTTATTGATGTAAGTCATCTTGATGAACTGATATCAAAGAACAAGATATCTGACCAATGGAATAGGTTTTTTCTTGTAATACAATGACATACTTATGTACAAAATAATAACACAAGATAAACATGATATAATGTCATAGGTAACTGAAATAAATCAGTTTTATTGGTCATTCGCTCTTCAATTAATTAAGGCCCTATTGTTTAGTCCCAATTCTTCGATTATTATTATTATTATTTAAACATATAAACATAGGTACAAGGAGGCACCAAATAGGTATGCGCCACATAAATCATTCGATTTGTGTCAGGACTGGGATACTGTTCGGGTGCCCAAAGTGAAGCAGGTGATTGTCTTAGTGAACCCACACCCCGAGCCTTTGACCTAGAGGTCTAATCCACTAGGCAGTTGAGCAACGTAAGGAGGTGCAGTCCCATGGCAGCCGGTGACCAACGATTGGTTAATACGCCATTTGTTTTCCAACTCCCCTAGGAGGACCCTCTATATCCACCAACCCTGGTTAAAGTGCCGGACATTCGCTTTACGTCCTCTCAATTTCGTAAACAACAGTAATGCTGCGAGTAAGAAGTGAGTAGGACTTCCCTAGCAGCGACTGTGTACGCGTGATCATGTGAGAGCATTTGGAAAGGGAGAGCGGACTCTCCTCACTCTCGGTCGTACCAGAGAGCAATTCTTATATTAGATAGTAAATAATCATACTTTTTTCTTCACTATTTTCTCCAAATCCTAGGAACTAATGATGATTTTAATTTGTCAACTTAATGATGACTAATTCCCCTTATTCTTATTTTTAGGTCAACGATCATCATCTTATAGAACGCTGTTTATCGTATTTATGCTATAAGGATTCTATTGTAAATGAATCCAATCTAACCACTTCTGATCTAGTTGGATTTTTACACAATGCACTTCCAATATGTTTAGCCATTCAATTACAAATTGAGTCGATTCGTTGTTTGAATTCATGTTTTGTAAATCGCACACCACCGTACAGAGCTGTTTGTCTATTACAGTAAGTGCCTTTTTCCCCTCACTTTTTAATAAGTTCAATTTTTTTATGTGAATTCCTAAAGAGAATTTTCTAATTTTAGGTTTCGTAAAAGTAATTTTAGTTCACATGTTTACTTGATTCATATATTGTAAATAGCTGTTTCATCCAGTGGATTGAATATTCAATTTTCAATCATTACAGCATAAATTCAATCGTTAGTATACTTAGAAGTTCAACAGTTCTATTATTGCAAAGGAAAGTTAGTTAAGGTCGATTTTAATGAAGTTGAATGAAAATAGTTACATCCATCTAACGAATATTTGTTTTTTTAGTTCGTGAAACTTTCTAGTTGAAAGTGATGATGGTAAGTAACTTTAAGATAATAAAAATTAGCCCAAATCATTTATCTTATTTACTACATTTAGGGCTATTGATGACTCAGGCCCGAACCCCTCCCTATATGCTTTGGTCTTATCACCAGGATAATATCACTAGTTTTTTTTAATAAAAGTAGTATAGAGCTATGTATACAAACCTATACTTGATACATGTGTTAGATCAAAATATTGCTCTGTCTCAGTGTAAGGGTAGAGAGTTTGCACGAGGTTAATATACTTCTTTGGGACGCCTTTTAATGACAGACGCTGACACAGAACCTCATGATCAACGGATTCAAAAACCGTCTCAATGTCAAGTAATACAACTATTGTCGGACGTCGAAAAGTATGTTTATGTTTCAAAATCTGCTGAAGGGTGAATATTCGGTTTATACATCCACGTTCATATCTGAAAGTAGCCTGGTTTTCCTGAGTTTTTTCTTCACGAGCTCTAGTTAGACATCGAAGTATTGTTGAGGTTAATATCTTAGACACTATGTTAGTTAAACTGACTCCTCTGTGACTCACAAGAGGATTCTTGTCCTTAAAATTTGGACGATCAGCGATCGATACCAGTCAGGGTGGCTTACGTTCAGTCTCAGTCAATCTAATAGCTAAAACTGGACCATCGTCCTTAAAAATCACTGAAGTTTATCCACCAGGCTCTGCCGACCTTCCTTATTTTAGATTGCTTATAGCGTTTCCAACCTCACTATGTGTTGGAGAACCTATGTCGATTTGCTATTTAGGTTGCTTGAAGATAGTGGGTAACTAAATTGTGGCTGAAAATCGTTGAACATTTCCTTAGTGTTCTGCCCATCGATCCAACCTCCTAGATTGAGGAATTATAGTCCCGTCTTTTTTGAGATAGTTTCACTAACAGTCGGATTTTTGATACCCGTTTCCTTGATAAGCCTGAATAGTTGTATATTGTTGCCTATCGCTGCTGCCTTTTCCATCTCTTCTGTTTTCGCTACTCACCATTCCTCACGATCAAGTAGGCACTTTGTCAATCTACATTTGGGTTGCCCTGACTCCTCATCGTGTTTGGGACCGGACGGGATGAGTTTTCGAGCATCTATTAGTTTAGTAAACACTACAGAAATCCCCTGTTTCTTAACCTTTTGGTTTAAGTTGCTGGTAGATGTGATTGCTATTTCCATAGGTCTTTGGATATCATACCAAGCTATCGCGGGATAGATATCACTTTAACGGTTGACTAACTCCTCTAGTTGTTCCTGAAATATATTCTTAGCTTTCTCATCATTACGGTGAACACTTAGGGGTTTTCTTGCTGTGGCTTTTCTACGTCCAGTAACACGCAGACAAATACGTACTCAAAGTAGAGTATGATCCAAATCTAAACATATGCTCTAGCATGAGCGTCACTCTTCAATCGAGCCTCTCCAACGATGGCTAATGGCAATGTGACCCATTTAAGTCCAATGTTGAGTCGATTATGGAGGTCGACATGTTCGACGATGTTTCTCCTTATGTTTAAAGTTGGTTTCTGCCAAAAATAAACGATTGTCTGAGCATATTTGCAACAGACGGTCGCAATTGTCTGTGCTGATCCGTAACATAGTAAGATCCCCCTAAGTGCCTTTCCGTTTGGTTTAGTCTACCTAATTGAGCATTAAAACCACGTGCCGATTCTTTATATCGACGAAGTGAAGTGAAATGAATGGCCGTACATGGATCCTGTATGCGCGTTTTGGTGACGCAGCATGCATTTATGGAGCGCGATTCTAGAGTCCTAGCTAAAGCCTGTTTTCCTATCTGACACATTTAGAAACATTAGAAACTCCAACATGCAGTTTAGAGCGAGGGTTTTGGACACCAAGAATAACATTTTTTGAAGTCAAATCATTAGCATTGGTGGCGCGTGGTGATAAAGATAGATAAGAAAGGTTCTTCGTGGGGATGGAAGAATTATTAAGAGGTGAGGGCGGGATTGGATCCCAGTTGCTGATAGAGGTGTGAGGAAGGTTGTCACTTCCCAGTAGTCGCCCACACCGTCGAAGGATATTTCTTCCTGAGAGACTTGTAAAAGAAACTCAATTAGTGGTGGTAATAGCGACCTGGTTGCGTGACCACAGAGTCCAAGAGGCCGGTCTTATACGGCCTCGTTATGGGAAGTTTTTGATGTTTCATCTGCATTTCAAAAGGTCTTACCGTCTGAAATGGAAATCCGTGGGGTATGACATCTTTCGGGTCGACCTTTTCTAACTTTTTCCTCCCGTTGTGAGAAGGCAGCATTGCTACAGATGCTGTCTGTCTGTGGGAAACACCTTATTTCTATCAAACCCCTTTACAATCAGCACTATGACTGTCCTCGTACCTTAATTTGCTGCTTTTAGTCTTACCGTTCTTCGACCGACCTAAATGTCATGGTTGGACTTAAACGTACATGTATTCCAGCCTATTTAACTCGGTCGAGTTATCACGATAGGAAAGTCTACCACCACGTCAAGGTATCAGCTACGGTCAGGCAATTCATGTTTAAACAATATAAAATTCCATACATAGTTAACAAAGTCTCTCAGAGGCATTTATTTCAGTGCTTTTTTGTTCTGTTTGTACTTATGCTTATTTCAGTGATATCCATATTATAATTATGTTTTTTACTGACGTTGGAAAAAAATAAAAGGTAATCAGTTTATCTTAAACCTCGTTTTACAATGACTAATATGTTTGAAGTCTACAATTTTCTAGTTAGACCGTTCAAGAAACATGGTGTTTAATATCTCATGTAATTAGGAAGTACACAGAAAAAAATATTCTGTTCTTGTTCAACATTCACATATTTAATATAGATCTGTTTCAACTGATGTAAAGAAAGTCTTAGTTTCGTTAGTTTTTGATTTACCTTACCTCTTATCCCGCATTTATTTATCATTTTTCTGTTGTTATCAGGAATAACTTATCTGATATTTTCCATTCTGCACAAAATTGTTGGATATTATATCATTCTAAATTTATTACTGAAAGACAAACTACACTTGTTGAAGAAGATTACTTTCTTACATCACTTTTAACTAGTTGGATTCATTTTCTGATTAATTTATCATTTTGTCTCATGGAAGATGAAAATAATAAGTGAGTTATTCTTGTTTTTTCCCTACAGTTCTATGCAATACTGTAGTCATAGTACACAACTGTTTGATGTTTGCTATTCGTTACACAAAGCTTTTAATTTATTTTATTATTAGTATGGGGGGGTGTGGATATTGTTCAGTTTTAAGGTTTTCATCACGGACTGACCTTACTAAGACAGCCTTGGAAAACCTAGTAGCGAACAGCCGTCTCTTTTTAATATAGGACTCTTCAGTAATACTCACTCATGATTCCATCAGGATTCAAACTTGGGACCTTCAAGTATCGCGGTGACCCGTTAACTTTCAGACCACTGAGTAAGCAGTGTAAATTATCGGATTGGAAAGTCCTGCGTTTGATTCCTGATGGGGTTGTGGATGCGTATTGCTTTGGAGTTCCGTGTTAGGAAGAATTAGTTGTTGAATTTTTCCGGGTTTTCAATGGTTATCTAATTAAGTTTAATCTGTGATGTAAACTAAGAAAATGTAGTCAGTCATTTTACTATATATATTTTGATCTGGATTCAACATTCCTCAAATATGTATTCTATAGTTAGCTTTAGTATGTCACTTCCATCTCTTTCATCTTTCAGTTTCTCTCGAATGCTCTTCTACAAAATGTTCAAATATTTTTTCATCTGTTGTTTTTTACTTCCGAGATTGGTTGACATCCCCTTACGTGGTTACTAAATTATCTCAACTAAGGCGACCAATTAGCCCTTGATAATTTTCTAGCTGAACCAATCTAGCGATATCTATCGGTTCTTTTTTAACCTTTCCTTTTCGGTAATTAGACTTCACTGTTTACACAGTAGCTTCGGTATGGAAACAGATATTTAGTTCAGTATTATACATTAATCCATTCACTTGATCTTTTAACCTATTTAAGCTTGGATCTGGATTATTATATTTATATCCATTATCATCGTCAACATCATGCTGATTTCCATTCAATAATCATAATGTTTAATCATGATTTCTATTTTCTCTATTATAATATATCTTGAAATCTTCTAGTTCTACCAATATACATCAAACAATTCAAATGATTATTAAAAATGTCTTGAATTGGTGTTGTGAACTTGAGAACCATATCAGTAAAAAATTACAAAGTAATTTAATTACGCCTGCTTGGGAAAGTTTTGAAGTGAGTGTTATTTTCTAATATTAATATTCCCAACTATATTGAATAATTTGACTTTGCTTTTACTGTTATCTGTTTCAACAAACCAAGATAGGGTTCGTTCCCAATTTTTCCAAACAAGTATTACGCTTTGTTATTAGTTCAGTCTTAAATACAAATAACTGGAGGAAGTATGAATTTTCACAGAAAATGACAAGTATCATATCTGTTGAACAAGTTTGTGACGATAGTATGTGACTTTCTTTAGTTTAGTGTAACGAGCACTGTGTAAGGATGTCAATAGGGACGCCAACACTTAAACACAGACATTCCTAACGAGTAAATCTCTTATAAGATGATGATATATGTATTTTGAATTCTTTTGCTAGCCAATGCCCAAAACATAGTTGTGTCTTATGTTTTCGGATATTACTGGACTAGACTGTTATTCCTGTTTCAATCTGAACAGGTGGGCAGTACCCCTATTCCATGTATAATAAGTACATTAGAAAAATTAATGTTTCAGAGTGTGTACTAAACGATAGCCAAATGTAAAAAAACTTGGCTTTCTTCCAAAAGGTCATAAGACTTCAACTTTCTGAGCCTGCTTCGTTATTGGATGATCGGGTAAATCTATGGCCTAAAGCCTGATACATAAACCTGAGCCTAGTAAATAAATTGTTCTATTTAAAAGTGTCTTTGTTTATTGGTTTAGATTATTTTTGCCACAGCTGATGATTGTGTTTGCTGAAATCATTTGAAAAAGTTGAGTTAAGCCAGATGTTATAACGACAAATCTGACAAAATTAGTATGAATAAGTTAACATACCTCTGGATTATTATTATTTCTCTCTATACTCAAGGTATGTGGAACGACGACTAATCAACAAGTAGGCCTTTTTCTACTATCATAGTATCATAACAGAGGTTCTTTCACTGTAATTCAATTTTTTCACGGATAAGATACTTCGTGAAACTATCTCTTACCACCTCCGATTTATTGTAGTTTTCATGTTTTAGGTTTGTTTTTATACATGCAGCTGATTTATTGACTATGAAAAAAGTTTTTCAATTGATGGTACATAGTACCCAGTTTTCAATTTATGTATTGAGATTAAGATTATATTTTTTTGTCTCAGGGTTGATGATATTACACAGCTGTCTAAATTAAAGAGTTCAAATCTTCAATTCAGTCGTTGTTAGCGGAGTGCTTTGTTCAGCAACCTAATTGTTTCATTCAATGATAACCCAAGTTCTATTAACAATTTCAATATAGATAATGTTTACCTATATTATCCGTGGTTGTCATACATTTAATATCTTTTTACCTCATCTAGGTTGCAATCTTACACTTGTATAGTTCTTATCAAATGGAATAATGGCCACTCACAAGAACGAAACATTAACGTACCCCCCCTCCGTTGAACTAATACTAAAAAACGTGACACTTATCTAGTGGAATAAGATCTTTATTGTTATTGAGTGACATGGTTATTTACAAATTATGAACTTAAAAATAAACGTAACTAGGAATGTCATTGACGATGGGAGGTAGTCGATTTTTTTGTATGCTCACTCTAACTAACTATGACCTTGATCATTGTATCATTCTCAGAATCCAGTGTTTGTTCATGTTGTTATTACTTTTATACACTTGTTTCTTAGATTTCGTTCGATAATTAACTAATTTCATGAATCTTAAATTTGTTTAACTCAACCGTAACTACTTTTCTTTCTATTATTATTATTATTACTACTACTATACAGAAAGATTTAACTGAAGCAGGCCTGAATACGTCTCTAATGGCTGTAGTAATTACATCTAGTTTGAAATGTATCCAGTTATTATCTCGAATCAAATTACAGCTAAACACAGTAAGCTTTTTCTTAAAAAATTCTCTTTTCATATATGACTGACTGCATTTACTCCAAACTGTAGTTGTCTACATTGTTGGAACTGACTAAACTTTCCATATTGTATTACTGACCATCCACAAAAACTTTTTTTTCATTTCCTTATGTTTGTAAAAATTTAAAATCTCTTTATGTTATAATTGGTCACGTGGAGTATTTGAAACCTAGATCACCCCAAAGAGTCAGTAAGCCTCTATTGGATTCGGAAGTCAATAGAGAATTTCTGTGGAAAAGAGTGATGATAAATGACTTTCGAACAACATATCTATACTGACCCTTTTTCGGTTCTTCTCTATTTTATTTTATGATGAAACAAATTATCTTGACAGTTATTAATACTAGCAAGCCTCAAAATAATGAGTAAACCAAACTAATGATCACTTAGGTATTAGGATGGTTTGAAAGAGTTTGTTGTAGATAGTTTCAAATTTATACTTAGGAAAAAATTTTGTCTTTGGTAGTAAACAAACATTTTTGATTTATATCTTTCGTGCACATATATTTATCACAATTATTTATCCATCAGGTATTGAAAATATGCATGAATGACCTATTCTGTATTCAGTTATACGACTTCGGTAACGTGGTTTAATTATTCCTCTAGAATATATGTTAATCAGTTAATCTGAATGCAGAAGTTATATTATGAATTGATTGTTCAATGAGATACTCCAAGTTTCGATTCCTGTTACTGTTTGATGCAGAAATCTCATTTTAACTAGTGCGAAAGACGAGTTTTGTTTGGATGATTTATAGTGGAAGAATTAGCAGATTAATGAAATAGAAAAACTGACATCTAATAGACAACAGTCATTTTTAGTCAAAGTAAAAGTGAGAGGGATGAGGGATTTTGGCTAGCTAAAACGAATATACAAGTGTACAAAACAAAAACAAAAAAGAAATTTTTGGGGACCCGGATATGCCTGATAAGATTCTATTTTATTTTAAATTGACTAAAGCAGTGGCGAACTAGTTAAAGCTTTCGACTTTCAACTATAGGTTCGAGCCTTGCTTCACATATCGTTAGCTCTCACACTTAGAATATGCCTTAAAGCCCAGTATACTAATCTCTACCTGGTGAATGAGATCTATGATACTTTCATATTTATGTATACATCTACAGTAAGTGAGATTTTAAGGAATTACCTGTTTAATGATCGATACAATATGTTTTTTTAGTTCTATATTTCTGATATTTACTATTTTTTTTACAAGTCTTTTCACGAACAATCTATCAATCATTGGAATGGTAGTTTAACGCCAATATTCAAACTACCATTTTGGAATCAAATGCTTTATCGATTCATTCAGTAAGTTTTTCTTGTAGAGTTTTTGTCTACTTACACCATTTTATGTCAAAAACTGAATATTAACTGGAATTTCAAACCAATATTATGCTGTTCTATTGTCACTATCGAAATAAATTCGTTTGTACCTTTAATTGTGATGTTCAGTAATTGGCAGTTAATTAATAGAATGCTTTAGATCGAAATTCCTTACATGTCGAATAAGTAGTATGTTGCATAAGCTTAAAGAAATCCATACTTTTTCAGTGGCTTCAATTCTTAAAATATTTAGCAGTTACAACAAAACATACTGTACTCAATTATTTGGAGCTGTTGACATTCATATGTTAAATTACTGAGTGATCATAAGGGTAAGCTAGTATATTTAAAACGGACTTATTAAAAATTGACTAGTGGTAATTAGTGATAATGATAATGATCCGTTTATGCTTCGATAAGATTGGATAAGCATAACATTGATTAATACACAGTGATCCTTCCACATAAGTGGCTTTTAAATCTGTGACACTGTTTAGTACGTGTCCTAATTCCACAAGGAACATAATTTTGCTTAAGATTCTATATATATATATATATATATATATATATATATATATATATATATATATATATATATATATATATATATATATATATATATATATATATATATATATATATATATATATATAGACACCTGGTTTCCTTCCTATTCTCTCCAACCACTTGACATAAAACATAATACACGTGATATTACATCAATTGAACTATTTGTCATATTGTCTTGATTAATAGAATTTATTAAGCTCTGAGGAATAGAAAAATAAGACATTAGTTATTGCTAAGTGGTCAGTCAATGTATCCTTGATATACCTATCGGTGCTAGATTCACAGAAGATATTTTACTGAAAGGAATTCAGTATTGGGAAAAAACATTTGTTTATCAATCTTTATGATATACTATGGATATATCTAGTGTACTTCCATAGTATGTCTTGTGCTGAATGGGATTAAGGTAATAAGAGTCAACAAAGTAATCACTGCAAGTTGTTTAGTGCTGAACTAATTTGTTTCTAGGCCTGAAGAATTATGTTTGGTTTATGTGAATTATTATTATTTTTCTACGTGAAATCATGGATGATATAACTATATAACGGTACATGTGACGTGAGTACAAGTGTGTTCTACTGAGCTTTTTGTAAAAATAATACTTTTTCCACTTTAATTTTACGCATAGGATGGTCACTCATTCACATCTCTGTTCATCTACTTTAGTTAGGGCAACCTGGAAGTATTACTAGTTTTCATAGAATAACTGAGTACATCCACCCCTACTTTCTTCGCCTTAATGTGAAATCTCGCAACCATGGGGGTTCACGACCTCACCATCAGTCGAACCAAGTAGCTTCAGACATCATTGTAATAACTTAACCTTAGACGACTACTGAATTAGCATCCATTTGTAAACTCAATGATCTAGATGTGGGGCGCTCGTCTTCAGACATGATGTTTAATAAAGAATCTGTCTTTTTAACTCCTGATCATCACTGGTTCTCTAGTTAGTCAGTCATAAACAACGTAAAACCTTCCACATATGTACATCATTTTAAGGTGACACATCGTATGAGGAGAGCCAAATGAAATTGTCGAGATAAATGCCAGATTAGTAAAATTAGTAGTAGTATCAGTGACAGTTGTACAAAATATTGGGTCATGGAAAATGTCCCCCAATAAGAATGATTTCACGCACCAAAAAATCTAAGATAGTTTTAAAACTGAAGATCTAAGAGAAGACAAATAATAAATGCATTCATATCATTGTGATAGATTCTAAGTCATGCCATCCTACTTCTTCAATCACTGGTTATTATAACCATAAAGACCCCAGCCAGATAGTCTATACCTAACTTACATGGCTCAGTACAATAGTTTTTAACTTCGTGAACTGATGCCACATCTTTGTTTGACCTTCTCTAGCTTTTTACATAATTGGTTTTTTGACCTGGTGTCAGTATACAATCAATACCCTTTTTAGTAAATTATCACTTATTCAATCGGTTGTTTCCCACATAGCTCAATTTTTCAAAACAACTTGTTTTTTTTTTGACTCAACCAGAAACGAAAGTATTCTTACTGGTAGTCCTGTTCAGGTTCGTGATGTATCCCCATGTTTACTTCCAGAATCATCAATAAACGTTCATACAGATGAAGGAGTAAAACTTGACTGGACTTCTGTTGATCAAAATACATTGTTGGATGATGGAGTTTTACAACTAGTCTCATTATCGCCTAGTTGTCTACCAAATTATGGTACTGTACTATATTTTTGTTATGATCCACACTATAGTCAATTAAGTGGATTAACATGGCCAAAAGTTAATTCACAGTCAATCAATTCTACAACTCAAGAAATAAAGAATACTAATAGTCAAAATGAATGTGATCAAGTATCATTTAATCCGAAACAAATGAATACAAGATATTTACCATTAATGTCTGCTATGATTCATATTTTAGAATCGATTATCGTTCATTTCAAACTACACATGATAACATTGAAACAGTTATCACCAATTTCCGATTTACTTCTTCCTTTAATCGATTGGATCAAACGTGTTTATCAAAAATCATTTTTTCTCAAATGGAAATCGCTATCTATGATTCAACAGAAATTCTCGACGGTAACTTCCACTGATGAGGTTGATAATGATGAGCCTCATTTGCTCATATCCATTGAATGCGAATTAATTACAAGAATATTGTTACTGTTTAGTCAGGTAAATTTTATATTGGAATTAAGCTGAAAGTTTTCCAGGATCTTACCTTTATTTGTTTTTAGCTAAAAGGCTTTAGGATTTTCTTTTTTTGTATTGATGTACTCTAGATTGTACTTGGTTGATAATTTAGTTGAATCCATATTGCAATGTGTAGTAGAAATTCAAATCACGACACTTGCAGTTTAGATATGCCAGAATTGAGACTAGTTAATCTTCGCGAGATATTACGAATTAGTTGGGTTCCAATCCATTGGTTCTAATGCTTAGGCGTTCGCCGAGATACCTAGAGCTCATGGGTTCGATCGTTGGCGGGGCCGTTGGTAACCACTACTGAACGATCCCAAACTAACACAAAAAAATCAGTACAATGCTCGCCTCCTTGTAGTAATGACTCAGTCAACATAAATATAATAATACTAATATATATTCTCAAAATAATAATTACAGAATTCATGCCAGTTTACAGACACGTTCAGCTTGATATATATAGTAATAATAAATGCACAGAACAGATATGTGATATACGACTGTTATAAGTTTTCTAATTCAAAAACTGTTCAGGTAGTACATTCTTCACATGTATTACAGCAATGAAATACATCAGCCGGGAACTTTTCATTCTTCTTATGTTGACATCCTGTTGATGTGTGAAAGGTGTATTTAAAGTCATTTCCTGCTCCATAACGAATGGATTATAACCATCTACAACTAGAGAGAATAAAATGGAAGCAGAGAGCGCGGGACAAAAAAGGCAATAATAACTACGATAGGTTAGTCAGATTATTTTAAGATCTACTATTCGTGTTAGATATTATTCAAATTAGTTATGGGCTGCCAGGGATGGTGTTAGTGTAAAGTAACAGCAAGGGTGTAGGTTTACTTAGTGGATTCAGTAATAAAAATGACTAAACATTTAAAGTTCCTATAATCTCACTTATGGAATGAGATAAATCTACGAATGTAAGAACATTTAAGGCACTTTCGGAGGAGAGGTAAGGATCGATGCAATGACCTTATCTCACGGACAGATTGTGGTAGATTATTCCTGAGTCTGGAAAATATACTGGTTAAGTCAAATAAAGAGATGATTTAAATTGTGTTTGTTTCATTAATGACAAAGAGTAATGGATGGTGTAACTAGTTATTTCTGCATATTGAATTACTTCACTGGATGTAGAGAATAGTTTATTAAGTATTTTGAAGAAAAAGATTAGACTTAGTTTGAGTCTCCTTTTCCACAAAGGGTCTCTTATTACAACCCATCAATTCACTCGACAAGTCCCCAAATCAGAACACGGTTGAACAGGAAAGAGATTATATTCCAAATTACAAAGGTAGATGGAAGTAAGAAGCACAATAGGAAAAACGTTGGTATATTTATAGGTTTTACACGAGAAGATCCTAGAGTGTCCTCAAAGTATCGACTAAAGCTGATTGGATAAGAATTAACCAATCAGTGTACACCAACGTAATGGGGCATCGAGTATGCTTTAATCCAATCTATGTCCCGCTAACACCAAGTTTATTACATCTGAACTTATAATTCAAGGTACTATCAGTTCCAAGAATCCTAAGTGTAAATCGTCTCTGTACGGATTCCACCCTTAAATCATCCTTTGTGAGCACACTGCTAAGAATAAACGTGCGTTATTCTAGGAGTAGTCGAACACATACTTTGTTCATCAAAATACGTGACTCGTACAACCCATTAGACGTTGGGACTGTTTCAATACTTGTTCTGTAATGGACGAACCGTAAGAGTACCTAATTTTCGTACTGTATGTAACTTAGATAACACCTTACCATTTATGGCAAGACCTAAGCTGAGTGATGTATTACCGAATCACATCCATCCATATTTAGCCTTGTTAAGCTCCATACTGATGCAATTTTGCATAGTGTTCAACTCATGAGGAGAAAATGAATACACTACTTTAAGACCACCTGCATACAGAAGGGGCTTACTAATACAAAAACAATCCTAAATATCATTGATAAAAACTGAAAAGAGCAAAGGGCCTAAGACACTACCTTGTATTACACCACTTCTGACAGGGACCGTGTTCGACAAGGAAGAGTTAGTTCTGACTATTTGGTGTCGGTGGTTGAGGAAAGAATTAAACCTAGTAAGCAGAGGGTTTTTGATCCGGCAAGATGCGAGTTTGCTTATAAGAAGTTGGTGATTAACCATGTCGAAAGCTTTTGAAACGTCGAAATATAACACTAAGACTAGATATCCTCATATATATGCTCTTGTCCTATTTTACTTAGTCGTTCATTATCATCACGGAGTTAGTATTCTGTCTTGATTTGTTTTCATGAATATATCTCAATTGTATTGTAATTGTTAACTAAGCTCTCCAAGTATATAGTCGCAAAGATTCTGTTCTTCTGAAAACTAAATTTTTATCCTGTTAGGGGGAAGAGCTAATATTTCACTTAATCCATGGCGATGACAGATGGTATTCATAAATGAATCAGTGGCATTGAAGATATGCTAATCGCTATGAATTTGATAAGCTTCGATATGCATTTTAAGTATAAGTGATTTGATATGTAGTGGACAAGAATTAAACTTGGTAGTCAACTCTTAATTTCATTGTTACTCAAAAATAACTTACAGTATCTGCATATTCCAACAATCTTCCATTTTTACCTATTTTTTGTTTCTACTCCAGATTTTAGAATTAAATGAATCAAGTCTAAGTGTCTATCTAAAATCATCGTTATGTTGTAATTCGACTTTGGGTGAATATGTCAATAGTGGTAATATTATTCATTTAGCTGCTTTACGTATTCTCCCATATTTACGTAAAGGTCAAGAAGAATTACGAACTCGTCTTATTTTAGAAGTTATATTCAATAATCGACAAATTGAATTAAACAGATTCAAGTAAGTGCATTACTTTCATTTTGATAAGAACTATCATAGGTAGTTTGGGTACTATAAAGTATTACTGAATAGCTTTATAACGCATAGACAATCTGGTGTATATTTGTTGTTACTTTTCGTATTTATGGATAGATATATTGATTTATGTTACGATGGATGGTGTCCGAGATCTAATGCTGACAGACGACATGCTACACGTTAACCTCCTAAACTGACTACTTGAGGGGGAAGATAAGAATGGAAGAGAAGGTCTATTGAGCTACCAAACAAGCGTATGGTAGCTAATTGTATTCATGCAGCTGAAGATAAAGAGAGCGTCCACTTTGCTCGATGTAGCGTTTAAAGTAGCCGGAGCAGTTAGTTTTTTAGATTGTGTTTGACTTTGCTTCTTTTGTCTTTTCATCCTTTTGGTTTCATAAGACTGATTAAAGTTATTTTATTGGTTTATGTTCCACGCCACTTTCAAACGGTCTCAATAATTTTGTAGTCTTCAATGTGTCCTTCATATATAGTAAAATGCTCCGTTTTTTGGCTTCCACATTTGATCGCTCATTGAACTGGAATTATTAGCATGTACCAACTAACATGTAAATAATTTCCTGTCGTTATTGAATATTTTTTTATTCTGATTATGTACAAAAAACAAATTCTATTAATTTCAACTAAAATTTCTGGGCTAATGTTTATTTGTTTTTCAGCAATACGCTTAACGTTGAATACGTTTTACGACGTCTACATGAAATTAAAGAATTGTATTACAACGAATTAGTTCTTGGAACAACAAAAACTTCCAGTGCACGGAATGATCGTGTCATAGATAATAATAACGAAGACAGTCGATCAAGTAAGTTATATATATTTATATATGTCACACTATATCCAAACCTCAGTGATCCTGTTAAAAGTTGCTTAGTGTGTGCTAAACCAAACAGGAATTAAGCGGCCTAGTTCGTCTCATTTTGGTATACTAAAGAGAAGTATGACAATTTAGAGAAGAATACTCATTTTAGTTTGACGTCACTTACGTCTGCCAAGTTGATGATTGGAACTAAAGCAAGTTCACTATGTATAGATTATTTTAATCAATCGTCGGAGGCGTCAGATGATAAAACACAGAATCAGTCACAGTAGCATAGATCCATTCCTTCTTTTTGATTCGTGTTGTCTGTTACCTAATATTTTCTACCGTTACTGATACTGTTGCGAACGAGAATATAGATGGGGACAACCGATTGTATTTGAATAAAAAATTTCAGTCTCCTAAGAAATACGAGAATCATACACTGAATACTTCATTTGCAAATTTCCATCATTTATCCGTCACATTCTGTATGATTCGTCAGCTCACAATTCCTTTCTATTTTCCGTTCCATTCTCTTCAACTCGATATTCCTAGCCTTCTGCTGCCAGGTTTTCTACTTCCGTTTGGTGTTACATATTACTTATGTTGACAGACATAAGTAGCATAAATCTACCGATCTAATGTATCAACTTGAACCGACGCACTTATAATCCAGGTTCTATGTTGTTTATAGATGACTGACTATGTGTGGAATGTATAGTACTTGTAATAACATAAATCTCATAAACTATTTGCAAGTATAGAGAAAATACATTGAATATTAGTGAACTGTAGTTCATATAAACATCATTTCTCCTATAAATGTTATTTTCTTTCTAATTGAATTTATTCATTCGAAATTAACTCCGCGTCATATCTCAAATGTTTTCTTTTGCTTCTTTCGTAACTACACTGTGTTCTATCAGTCCACTTCTAACAAAATCTCTCTCCGTAAAGACAGTTCAATAAGGCAGAGAGATGTCTTATGGAATATGTAGATGAGTTTATATATCCTTGATTTGTTTGATATTCAGACAGACAAATTTGTAGAAAATTTCAATCCATTCATTGTATAACCATTTTTATTGTATGACTATGTTCTTTGTTTTCTTATCCCTACAAGCTACTAATTTACAAAAACTATTTTTTTGACTGGTCAGCAGCTTACTTACTCCTGTTACCCCTTGTGGAGGAACATATGCCGCTGACCACATTCTCCATCAAACTCTGTCCTGGGCAATCCTTTTCAGTTGTTATTCAACCTTTTGATGTCTGTTTCTTATTCCCGATGCAATATATTCTTTGGTTTCTTTTCCGTTTCCTTTCGGAATTCTAAGTTAGCTCTTGCGTCATTCTGGAGTTTGACTTCCGTGGTGTATGTCTTATCCACCTACATCATTTTTCCCTGATTTCCTCTTCAGCTGGTAGCTGGTTTGTTCTCTCCTTCAGTAGGCTGTTGCTGAGGGTATCCATTCAACCGACATTGAGTATCTTGTGTAGACAATTTTGTATAAATAGCAGTGAGCTAAACTTCATATTGTTCATTTCGAGCATCGTTTAAGCTTCTCATCCGTACTGTTCTGTCTCAAAGTCATTGGATTTTAACTTGACTGTAAGGATGTTTTATTCTTTTAATATGGCTTGTGTTATCTGTGAAGCTTTGATTGTTGTTCATACACAATATCATCAATACCTTGTGTATGATTTAACTTCTCCAAAAATCCTATCTTATTCTTACAACGTTAATTCATCAGATATTTACATTATTACATGGAAATACCTTTTCTATATTTAGGTTTATCACCAATTCTTGAGGATATGCCTGAAGTAAATCCAGGTCATTCATTGAAATATCAATCTATCTTTCAATTAAATCATGTTATTTCTAAACCAAGATCTGTATGTGACAGACTAATTTCAAAGGAATGGGTATATCTACCATTTATTCATGCATATTTATTGTCGAAATCCAAAAAAATTAATGAGGAAGATGAAACGTATCGTAAGGTATGTGTATTAATGTAAAAATAATTTATCTATTTGTTCAGTGTTGGAGCAAGACTGATGATCTTTAGTGAATTTAGGAGTGGCCTTAGGATTATCCAGTCAATAATGACCAACTCCTTCATTAAGTTCAAATAAAAGGCAGCAGCCAACCTCCATTATCTTTATATTTAAGGCAAACTACATCACGTCGCACCATGAAAAAGAAGTTACATTTATAGACAAGCTAAAAGTGGTTGTGAATAGAGCAAGCTGTAAATATATGATTGACAACAGAATAGGAATAATAAGTAGTATAATAGTAGTTAATGGGTTAAACGAAAACTTACGATAAACGGAATATGGGGATATAGTAATCCAGTTACAATGAAAATATGCAATAATAATGATAATTCATGAAATAGTTCCGGGAATTACCATTTCTTTGATTTTCGCCCTAATACACTGCATTTATTGCCGAGGATCATTTCATCTTTATTTCTATCACATATCGAAACATAATTTGCCCACATTAATGCTTAGTGAACTTCCTATGGTCCACGTTTCCTTTATCTATGTAATATACTTGTCTGCATAGTTTATCTGCGACAACTTAATTATATGTTTAGTAGATAGTATTCATATCATCACTAATGTTTAATTTTTAAAGACGATTATTCGGAGTGTTTAAACAGAAATAACTTTTTTACCTAATCTAGAAAGTATGAATTAACAAAACTTAATATAGGTTCATAACGACTGTTTTATTTGTTTGACAGGTAAATAATTGGATGAAATTCTAAATTTTCACGGTTTAAATCATAAACTGTTACTAGTTAGATCAATATTGAGAACGTGAAAGCATTGGACGGCCGTTTTATCTTAGTATGGGGCTCCGCAGCAATGAGCATCCACGACCCCACTTCTAGGACAGAACCCATGGTCTTCGGTTCCGCACGCCAACCTTTAATGTGGAACCACTGAGCCATCGTGCAACGGTGTTTATATCTAGCTCAAATAAACTCACGAAATTGTACAATCCGACACGGATTGAACTCCACTGGTCACGGCTTCTCACTAAAACTTCGAAAACTTTCTTTCCCAAACTAGTCACTAGTGAGCACATGATAATTGTTAGTATGGGATTGTTGATGCCAAGTCGTAGATACCTACTGCTGAAGTCGGATTCTAGAGCAAAACGGTCGTCCACTCTTTTCAATTTTTCAACGGTAATATAGCTATGGTCAGTTCATCATTTAAACTATTGGAAATTCTACAATCTCCCTAAACCCCTTTGTTATAATAAAATTCTGAATGCCAGTCTAATCTTCATATTTTTCGTGTAGCTCATTTTAGATCGATCGTTGAATTGTTTGACGTGGATAAATTATCTTCAAAAAATTGCAAATTTATGCGACTATACAGATAGTTACAACTTTGGTTTCATGGATCCAATTGAATCAATTGTGCGACTAACTTTAGGTTCTATCTCATATCCCGGTGCTGGAGGTTTAGGCTTTGAACCTACTGGTCAACTGCTAGCTGAAATTTTATATTCTATCGGACCAATTAGACCGTCGTTAACATTTAGAAATGATCAAGAAACCAATACTTCACTTGAAGTTGTTAAACTCCCAGTAAATTTTCCATCATATTATGATCTGTGAGCTTGTTTTTTTATTTAATCATATTTGTTATAAATCTATATTCTATATAGCGATTTAATGAGATCACTGGATTATTGATGATGCGTTCTTTCCAGGTTATTATTATTTAAACACATAGATATTATTTTATTTATTTATTTGAACACAAATATTGGTACAAGAGGGCACCAAATATATATGCGCCACATAAAATCTTATTTGTGTGTGGGCTGTGATACTGCCCGGGTGCCCAGACCGAAGCTACATAAATCATTCGATCTGCGTGAGGGCTGGGATACTGTCCGAGTGCCCGAATCGAACCAGGTTGTTTCCCTAGGGGACCACACTGCGAGCCTTTGACCAAATGGTCTAATCCACTATGTATGCATTTCAACCATTGTTCTTATTCACTGTTAATGTTAGTATTTTAATGAACTCTCCATACTGATACAACACTACACTTATTGTAGTGTTTTCTAACTGCTAATATTATCTGTAACACGGAAAAGGCTGTAAATCTGTGTTCCCGACTTTGCTCTGTGTGCTTTATGCAGTAGTTGGTTTTTTCTTCCACTTTTCGACTCTGTTCATTAAAAAAATACTTGAAAGTCAATGGGAGTTATTAGTTGTATAAATGATGTAAATATTGATTGAACTGCCCTGACATTTGTATGGTAGGTAAGTACCTCGGGCAAAGAAAAGTAAATGAGGTATATGTATATGTGTAGTGATCATGCTTTAGACATGTCTTCAGTGAATATCATTTCTAAATGTTACTTGAAACTACTGTGAGATCGGGTGAATGAATAAACAAAGCATTTGATTGTTGCACTGACCGACTCAAATTCAAATTGTATGGACGAAGCATCAGTTTCTTCAGTAATGCAAAATACGTATTTTATAACAGTTGGAGTATTTGACATTCAAGTATTGCAGTGTCGAAGTTTTAAATCTTACCCACTTCTAGTTAAGGAACCAGGAATCATCACTAGCTCTAATTTCGAAAATGTGTTTAAATACCAAGTAAATAAATGGTATCTTTAGTTACTACACCGTTCGGATCCTTATAAATAATCATGTGTACTATTACTCACTCTCGTTTTTTACTGTATAGATATATTGACCTAGTGAATCACTACAATGCATTGTCGTATAATTCTCCAGTGTTTGCCAATCTAGTACTTTGGCCTTGTCAACAGTTATGTCATGTAAAATATAGACGCGCACTATGGGGTGAACATCAACAAGTTTTAAATTCACTTCGTATTGTTTTAAATCAGGTTAGTTGTTAGGTCTGTTTTCTCTTTGATTTTTTTTTACCTCTGATCCCTATTTCTTTATTTGAATATGTCATTCTTTTCTCAATTTAATTGTATGTTATTATTGGGTAATGTGACATATATTCTAATAGTTCTATTCAATTTTTGTACATTCATTGAATTTCTGTTTAAATGTGACGGTTTTTCTCTTGGTTTTCATTCCAATTGTTAGCAGTTATTATGGACTTAGCTATTATTTAGGTTACCTTATGTTTGCAAATAATCTTTATGTAACTATTCTAAGAGATATTCTTCTTTTAATCATATAGATACTTTGACGCCTTCAACGCTACAGAACATTTTACATGAAATTAAAGTTTGTTCAAATGTAGCCTATATTTTAAAATAATATTAAAAATAGACTGACCAATTACAGTTGTAAACATAATGGAACGATTTATTTATTTATCTTAACACATAGGTATTGGTACAAGGAGGCACCAAATACATATGCGCCACACAAATCTCAATTGATTTGTGTGAGGGCTGTGATACTGCCCGGGTGCTCAAACCCAAGCAGGTGATTTTCTTAGGGAGCCACATCCCGAGCCTTCGACCTGAACGTCTAATCCACAAGGCAGTGGAGCATCGTAAGGAGATGCAGTCCCATGGTAGCCGGCAACCAACTATTGGTTCATACGCCATTTGTTCCTTCAGGATACTGGATCTAGTCCATGTGCACCATTGGTTAGGGATCCGGTTAAAGCGCCGGACATTCGCTTTTCGTCCTCTCATTTTCGTAAACAACACCCCCGCCACGAGAAGGCAGTGAGTAGGACTTCCCTGGCAGAGGTTATATACGCGTGGCCATGTGAGAGCATTTCAAGAGGGAGAGCGGACTCTCCCCACTCTCGGCCGTACCAGAGCATTTGGGGGCAACGGAACGATTTACAAAGTAACCAATATAAAGGAATTAGATTTCTCCTCATTGCACAAATCAGTTGGCTATCTGAACTGATTAGCTAAGTAGACGACGTGATGGTGTTTGAAGCGAATGGTTCTAATCTTAGGGTAAACATTAACTGTAAGATGCAGGTAAATCCAGTCGGTGAGTCCCGAATTGGACGTAACACGCTTTCTGGATTTTAGTCCTAGTTACTATCCATCCCTGTTTAAAAATGCTTATAAATTACTGACAATACCAAAACAATCCTCACAGAATGGACACTTGTCAACTGTAGTTCTAAACATCAAAAAGTGACCAACGATATTATCCGGTTGTTCAATCCAATGTAGGCAAAATTAGGCTTAGTTTTAAGACTAAGTTTCCGGAAGTTGAAGGCTTTAACTACTATGTCCCTTTCATACACATAGTTCATCTTAAAGAGAGCAAGAACAAAGATTCTTTGTACTCAGTCACTGTTTTGAAATTTATTCTGCCATGTATATCACTAGTTCTGAATTTTTAATATTTCTATTCATAATTCGTATAAATATAGCTTATTATACCATTGTCAAGCTTCCTTGAACCAGTTGAGACGAACTCATCCATGATTCGTGTTTATGCGGCCGCAATTCTATCTGGTACAGTCCAAATAACTCGTCAACCTTTATTGTTCTTGATAGCTGTACATCATTTAAATCGGTGAGTTTGTATTTATTAAAACAGAAGATTACCTATGAATACAACATCAGTTTCATAAGTTAAGATGCACGAAAGATAAACTTTATTAGGAACCTACCCTTGATAATATTATTTCTCCGCTTATTGTCAAATGTTTGTGATAAACCTGATAAATGGGAGACTAAATGACCTTGACCAACTCCGGATTCAGTCCAAAACAATCAGAAAACTGTAATTGCGAAAATATGATTTACAGTTCTAGGATTAGCATAGCTCAAAATCGATCACAATGCCGTTGTTGTATACGTTCTTTGTCTTTCCTTAAACTATGAGATTAAAATCGCTTCATATCTTTCTTTCTACGAACTAACTCTTTCTTCCTGTACTATCTCCTTATATGCAATCTTTCTTTTATATATTACCACTACTGAATTAAATTTTTCTATAAATACAGTATTCATCTTTTTATGCTAATGGGGTATGGCAACTTGGATCAAAGCACATATGTGCCTGGTCCTACGTTGTAGCTGACTGACTGATTAGCATTTGCGCTTCACCGTTTCTGCACGTGTATTTCAATCGTGTAATTAGACGCTGTATTACTTTGAACATCTATTTTGTATCCACTGGAATCTCATATCACATACGTAATCTGATTTAAAATAAATAACGAACAGTTTTGAACATGTCTTTAGACAACCAGTCATAGTCAACGTAGATTCCAAGAATGTATATGTTTATCTAAGTTCTCTTCACTCAGTCCAAACAATCAGAAAACTGTAATTACGAAAATTTGATTTACAGTGCTAGGATTAGCATATACGCTTTACCATTTATATCGACGTGTAGAGTTACGACTAGGGTTTAAGATGTACGGTTATGATGCAGGATTCATGGTTAGGATTCGGATTTAAGGTTTTGTTTTCCAGTTCTAAGCCTAAACTCTACATTCGAATTCTTATCCTGACCTCTAGTATCTAGTGTTGCTTTCGTGATCAAGACTAACTATTTACGTTAAACAGATAATATTCTGTTTTGATATTTACACTAAAATCATAAAGACCTTCCCTTCTAATTGAGTCGCTCTTATTTTTAAGATTTACTAATTTTACTATCATTCCTGGTTACCACTCATGTAGAATGCATTTATTATTCCGATAAACATCAGGGCACATATTTCAAAAATAAATCTGATCTCATTTGTTGTTAATAATTTACTTCTACGATGAAATACATATTTCAAATGTTATCATAATCGTATTCATTCTCGAATGTATCATAGCATCTAATTAAACGATTAAGATTCACATGAAACCGAAGTTCATAAAACAGCAATCTGTGTAAAAAGCGGTTCTTTATTAAGTAATAAACAGATTAGTTAGAAACCTCAACTTATAAAGTATCTATGCCTCTTAGTGCGTCTGTAAGTTTGAAAGAAAAAAAAAGCTTTCTGTAACAATAATGATTTAAAGAATAATTATGGCACATAATAGTGCAAATGACAGCTACTAGCTGTGTCTAATATTGATAACACTTTTTCAACAAGCAAAAGCGGGACCAAGAGCTAGAAATATGGAAACCGTTGCATTTAAACAAAGATTAGACGGCTATACAAAACTGTAAATAACTGCTACAGGGATTGACAGTAAGTAATTATAATGATAAATACAATACAATTTTTACTTTAGTCACAGTCACTCTGGGGAGTTTATCTACGCTTTACTACTCACTCGTCTGCCCCTTCTAATAAACAAATTTTACGTACGTCTTTGGTGATTATACCTTTCGGTGTTCTAATGTTTGTTTGCGTAACAAGACCGTCTTCTGCTGACTTACTACTTGCTACCAGTCCTTCAAGTCAGCTATTGTGTGCATGAGTATCCACAATAACCAAGACTAAATCGCCATGATATAATTATCGTCCTTCTTGTGTCCATTTTGTTCACATAGAAGTTGCTTGTGGATTATCAACAGATTCCTTTTTGATGGTACCGTCACAATTTTTAAATCGAAGAGATGTGATTTAAAAGATACACAGTGATAGACGGATCAACTTTGTTGGGTTGGGGTAGAAGTTATGACGTCTGCACGTCTGTACACAATAGCTGGCTTGAGGGACTGGTGGCATGTTTATCATGTAATATTCTAAAATATTTACATATACTTATAACTTATTTATCGTTATAATTATTCTTTAGATTATTATTACAGAAAGCCCTTTTTCTTTCAAACTTACAGACGCACTAAGAGGTATAGATACTTTATAAGTTGAGGTTTGTAACTAATCTACGTTTATTACTCAATAAAGAACCTCATTTTAAACAGATCTCTGTTTTATGAACTTCGGTTTCACGTGTATCTCAATCGTGTAATTAGACGCTGTGTTACATTGAACATCTATTTCGTATCCACTTGAATCTCATATCACATACGTAATCTGATTTAGAATAAATAACGAACAGTTTTGTACATATCTTTAGACAGCCAGTCATAATCAACATAGAATCCAAGAATGTATATACGTTTATCTAAGTTCTCACATATTAACATTATGAGTTTACAAAGTTTAATTGCAAAGGAATCAAAATAATATAACAGCTATCATTCTAAGAAAGATTAAACAGTGCGAGCATTATTCGAAAATACAAGTGCACAATCTTTATAGCCCCCAAATGCCCTGGTACGGCCGAGAGTGGGGAGAGTCCGCTCTCCCGCTCGAAATGCTCTCACATGGCCACGCGTATATAACCTCTGCCAGGGAAGTCCTACTCACTGCCTTCTCGTGGCGGGGGTGACAGGACGAAAAGCGAATGTCCGGGGCTTTAACCGGATCCCAAACCAATGGTGCACATGGACTAGCTCCAGTATCCTGAAGGAACAAATGGCGTATGAACCAATAGTTGGTTGCCGGCTACCATGGGACTGCATCTCCTTACGATGCTCCACTGCCTTGTGGATCAGACGTTCAGGTCGAAGGCTCGGGGTGTGGCTCCCTAAGAAAATCACCTGCTTGGGTTTGAGCACCCGGGCAGTATCACAGCCCTCACACAAATCAATTGAGATTTGTGTGGCGCATATGTATTTGGTGCCTCCTTGTACCAATACCTATGTGTTAAAATAAAATAAAATAACAATCTTTATAGCGCAGAATAAAAAAGGAATGAATCTGTACCACTGTGACTGATTTTAACACATGTCACTTAACAATCTAAAAACTGTAAAGGATTAAAATTTATCAAAGGAAAGTCACATAAATGAATGGTAATAACCTAACTCAGTTTTTTTATTGTTTTTATTCATTCCAGCTATTTATACAATAAAGATAATTGGAATAGTGAATTTACTCAACAATTTGTACGTTTATGTAAATTATTACCTCAAGTGACAAATATCAAACCAACAACAACAACATCATCATCACCATCGTCGTCGTTGTCTATGCAAAAAATCGGTAATAAAATTGATATTCTAAATTTACTACGCTTTTATAAACAGCCTAATAAACAATGGTTACAACAAATGAAATCCATCGAATTGAATACAAATTTACATGTTGGTGTACATGATTCATTAGTTCATTTAATGAATGATAATAATGATTATGCCAGCATAACTAGTGCAACAACATTTAATGAAGCTATTTTAAAAGCATCTATTGAATGTTATAATACGGATACACTACCTAAACATCGTCAACTTTATTGGATTGAATTATTTGAAAAAGAAAAAGGAAGAAATGAAAATCAATTGAATACAGAAAATAAAGTTTAAATCAAATTATACATTTAAAGATACTACTTATTTTACTTATCAAATTAATATACTATGGATATTTACAAACATGTAAATAACATTAAATATGTATTATATTTATTACCATTCTTGTTTCTAAAAATAGATTATTAAAAGATTCATTCTCTTATTTGATGTTTCAATCATTTAATTAGCTAAGCGTACAATTACAATTGTGTTAAAACAATTGTAATACAAGTAATTTATTACATTGGACTAAGTATTTTTTAACTAGTAACAAGCAAGTTACTTGGTGATAAAAAATCTCTAGTATTAATGGATATTTCACATATATAAATGTGATATGAATAAAAGAAAACTGGTTTGTAGAACTCTGAATATAACAGAATATTTTAGGAATTATCTGTGCTTTGTGTGTGGTAAACAAGGTCATGATATATATATCTAGTTTTTTGCACCCAAATGCCCTGGTATGACTGAGAGTGAGGAGAGTCCGCTCTCCCTCTCGAAATGCTCTCACATGGCCACGCGTATATAGCCTCTGCCAGGGAAGTCCTATTCACTGCCTTCTCGTGGCGGGGGTGACAGGACGAAAAGCGAATGTCCGGGGCTTTAACCGGATCCCAAACCAATGGTGCACATGGACTAGCTCCAGTATCCTGAAGGAACAAATGGCGTATGAACCAATAGTTGGTTGCCGGCTACCATGGGACTGCATCTCCTTACGATGCTCCACTGCCTTGTGGATCAGACGTTCAGGTCGAAGGCTCGGGGTGTGGCTCCCTAAGAAAATCACCTGCTTGGGTTTGAGCACCCGGGCAGTATCACAGCCCTCACACAAATCAATTGAGATTTGTGTGGCGCATATGTATTTGGTGCCTCCTTGTACCAATATCTATGTGTTAAAATAAATACAATATCTAGTTTTCAAGTAATGATCAATCAAGTTGAAATTTAACCATTTATCTTTACTGACGTTATGTTGTGTGTACTGTCTTTTTGCGTATCGATTGATTAAAGTTAACCGGTAAATGTTGGTCTGTAGGATTTGCTTTTTTTCTGATTGTTTGGATTGGTCAGCAAGAAGTATGTGTAATCTTATGGGAACCGATATCGACTAGAAGCTTAAAAACAATGATATTAAACGTAAAGAAACAGAAGCGCTTTGGATCACAGTTAAGTTTTGATGAAAGTTGAGAAGGAATGATAAAAAAGTAAGTCTCACGATTCTACATGTACTGACTGTATGAATATTTTACAAGAGAAAACTGGCGAGCAAATAGCGACAGCTTCATAAAGTGAAAAATTAGCTTAACACCGGGATAATTAGTAATCCGTCAAGAGATGGCTTTCATTTCCAAGGAATTAGACACTAAACACTGATAGATTTAAGTTCCCAAGGGATAAACTTATGGCTCGATTTACTCAAATAAACTTAGTTTCCTACTTTCCGTCTTTCCTCCTAAGTAGTCGAGATCATATACAAAAAGTGTATAAGTATCAAACGGTGTGACAGTAAGCTTCACAACACGTACTAACTGCATAAAAAATATCTGATACGAACAGGCTGTCCACCATTTTTGCTGTAATGGTGTCATTTCAAGAGAAACGTTGAGAAAGTGACTTCAAATGTTGTTATACTTTGCTGAAACTAAATTTATTCATTCGATAAGATACTGTACGGTTGTCGATATTACTTTGGTCCAATTACCTCAGTTTATAATACTCATTTGTGTTACATCATGCTTTCAGTTATACTAACATTTTTCCGCGTGTTTGATTCTTATCTGACCTTCATCTATCCAAACAGTCAATTTTCTTTGTAGTTCATATTCCTCAAGATAAACCTGTTGCCATAACATTCTCAGTTTGTTTTCTTTAAAATTCATATAACTAATCTGTCAATACTCAACCATATAAACTATTTCATTTTCTCTGATATAAACTATACACAACTATCGTTTCTAGGTTTTAAGGAAAAATAATCTCAGCGATTGAAATTTAAATAATTTCAATGTTTCATCCAGAAAACTTATCTGAACTTCAGTGTAATCAAAAAGTATCAAAGAAAATTGTCTTCTCGATAGTCGAAGTCTAATTCCTATTAAAGTATACGTTCAAATCTTCACGAATATTTGTATAAATTTTCTAGATCCTTAGTATAACTGGATACATCTATCTCCAATAGCCAATTAATGATTTTACAATTTACGGATGACCTTTGAACGGATCTTAGATGGATAAACTTCTTATACGTGGTTCACAATCTTGTCAAGGCTAGAAAGAGGTTCTAAAATCGTAATGCATGCAGTAGAGGAAACCATCCATATGTCTCCATAAGGTCGCGCAAACTCGTTCAGCCTCTACCACATAGTTTTAATATTGTTTATGTGCACTGCGGTTGTTGAGTACACAAAATGCCACTTGTGGATGACGATACTAAGCACATAACGAAGCCTTTGTAGGAGTCCGTACGATCTTCAAACATCCGTATATATTGTTGTACCTGGCTAAGCCAGTGTTGCTGGTGCTTTTATTATCCAGTTTGCAATAATTGTCATAATTTGCCGTAGTCAAGAATTATATATGGGGTTTTTATCACGAACTGACATCAGCTATAATTCCAGAAATTTATTTAGCTAAATGGGTGAAAGGCGTTCGCGTTAGAATCCGAGATCTGTTATCTACCTAATTGATTCGTCCACAAATTATAGTCTCGCCGTTTTATTTTTTATAGCCGCTCAATTATCACGTTTTGTACAAAATTCCCTATGAACCGATCGTACGTTAGCATTAAGCACAGAAGTTGGCGCCGTGACCTTGAAATCTCTCAAACGCTTCTGATTGACTCGTCCATAAATTACAGTCTCGCCCTTTTTTCTTTTCATCTGGCATATTCAAATTAAAAAAACAAATAATTTCTGCTTTATGATTTATTTATAATTCGCAACCAGTAAATAATATTTACAAAATGTTCAAGTAGAGACCCATTTTTAAACAGAGGCACAACACACGTGAAAAACAAATAAAAATTAGTACTAATTATTATTAATATTATATTGAAGAGATAAGATCTGTACAATTAAAGTCAAATAGTTTTGTTTTTTTCTGATGAAAGACATGAGGAGCAGGAGGATGATAATGATGACAACTGAAATTGAATGATGAATAGAAGTATAAAGACAAGTACTACACTTCTAATAATCTACCAACACAACATTTACAATTTGGACAGTCATGACGTAGAGTTTGATATCGTAAATTTTCCAACGTTATATGTGAAATATGATGCTTTTGAATACTATCATTTGTATTGAAATCAGAAACTAGTTCCTTGTTGGTTAGACTTTCCATTTCATCACCTATATCTTCATCGTTTAAATCGGATACACCAGCTTCGAATTCTTTTTCATCAGTAGATAGTTCAATCTCTTCAATGAGAGAGCGAAATTCATTTAGGAATCTGCCTCCTAGATGATCTGAAATGATAAAAATGGAGTTGGTAAGTTCAGCAACTGTTCTTTAAAATCTATAACATTAACAATTCAATCATTCTAATTTTTATCCTACAACTGAAATTACCTACTGAAAGACTATTCCGTATCAATGTTAGTTGTAGACTACGTTATCGGGGTTCGTGAAACAATGGTGATCGAAAACGTTAGGTGATAGATACGGTTTAGAAGTAGTTTATTTATTTATTTATTTTAACACATAGATATCGGTACAAGAAGGCACCAAATACATATGCGCCACACAGATCTCATTGGATATGTGTGAGGGCTGTGATACTGCTCGGGTGCCCAAACCGAAGCAGGTGGTTTTCTTAGGGGGCCACACCCCGAGCCTTCGACCTGAACGTCTGATCCACAAGGCAGTGGAGCATCGTGAGGAGATGCAGTCCCATGGTAGCCGGTGACCAACGATTGGTTCATACGCCATTTGTTCCTTCAGGATACTGGAGCCCATGTGCACCATTGGTTTGGGATCCGGTTAAAGCGCCGGACATTCGCTTTTCGTCCTCTCATTTTCGTAAACAACACCCCCGCCACGTGAAGGCAGTGAGTAGGACTTCCCTGGCAGGGGCTATATACGCGTGGCCATGTGAGAGCATTTCGAGAGGGAGAGCGGACTCTCCCCACTCTCGGCCGTACCAGGGCATTTGGGGGCTACCACCAATTATATATATATATATATATTATATAACTTGGCAAACCACATCCAGTAACTTTTAGTTTTTCTCACTATCATAAATAACAATACTATTTCAGTTCAGGAACCTGGGTTAATGCGTGTATTCGTACCAGGTTTTACTAAATTATTAGTGACTTCTAATTTGATAAAAAGGATCATGTATCATTCGCACTTAATAGAAATGGCATAAATGCATTTGCTTTTAATTCGAAAGTGGTTTTCGTCACACTGTTGAAATATAAGAAGCATTATGTAGACGTTTAGTCATATTAACCACCCTATTAGAAACAGTGAGTCCAATGCCTCCTTCAGATATCGTGGTGAGTGGTTACACTCTATAATCTTTACAATCAGCAAAAATAGCTCTGTAATCCTCTTTAGTATTTCAACAGATGCTAATTGCTGACGAAAACCACCTTCGAATGAAAACTAATCGAGATAGATATGCCAAAGTTAAGTTGCACAATGTGACGCAATATACAACGATAAATAGAGTGTAAACTCCTAGATATGTATTGAGTGATAACAGTAAAGAGCTTTCTTTAGGGAAAAATGGTATCGACTGTAATCACGAATAAGTTGCAAGTATACATACTATCGAGTTCTTAAATCGAATCTCAAGATCATACTTAATTTTATAGACAGTGATGTAAAGAAATACGGATTATGTTCAGAATTTCGGAAACTATAGTGATGAATTCAAACATCACTTTATAGGAATAGAATAAATGTTAAATACAACTAGAATAGTGAATCATTTGCTTCTTTTTAAAAAAAGATACAATCCAATAAAAACTTACTTGAATCATTCGCTATCGTGTCTACTAGTTGTTTCACAAGCTCTGTTTGACCGTTTGAATTACCATTTTCAATGTATACTGGATTTATTTGTGAAACAATTTTTCCCAAACGATCACGTAAACGTTTTCTGTCGTCTACTAAACGTTGAAGTAATAGTTCACGAGCTTTTGCACGCTTTGCGGCTGCAGCACGTCGATGTGTAAAAAGTGTTACATATTCTTCAACTGTTGCAGCTTCCATTTCTAGTTGAGCATTTATACTTTCTAATGTACAGCGTTCCTCACTAACAGAACTAAGTTCTTCCATACATTTTAGAAATTTAGCTTCCAATTGTGTATGAGCAACCTTTAAAATAATTTTAAAATATTCCCTATTTAATTAAGTTTAACTATTATTTATCAAATTCGAAATTGTTAGCACTACAGTATAAGACTTCGATGCCAATCTGGACCATCTATGGTCCCTTTAAGTTGTTAGCCATGCTGTAAAACGTCGCATTCACAACGTATCGAAGAGAACAGTTTTGCTCTATGTGTTGGAAACCTGAACTCTCCAAGTTCACAAAGTTAGACGACTCTGTGTTTGATCATCGTTAACTCTGAAGGATTGCTGATACTAACTAGCAACACCGCGTTAGTAGTGCATAGGTTCGACAAAGTGTGTTGTGGAAGTGTGACGATAATTCAACTAGTATCACCATCTTAAAATATAGACTTTGGTGGCTTGAATACGTTTGAGCATTATTTGCCGATGCTGACACTGGTTGGAAGAAGAGGAGAGGTGATCAATGCATAACATGGTGTTATGATATGAAATAAAGCTGTAGAGGACTGGCATCTGTCAGTCCTTCACAACTCCTTAGTTGGAGTTATACTAATAATTAATTATTAATCGATCACATTATCAATGAAAATAACTAAAATTCATAAATAGAGTATTTGTTACTAGAAAGAAATCATAAGAAAAATATATTGGATGTTTATGAGCAGAGTTCTCACTGAATAATTTAACATAAGGGAAATTTATCCTAATCGATACTGAATTCCTCAATGGTCTTTGATAACTTACATACGAACCAATGGAGTTAAAGATAACAATCTCGGAATTTCGGGTAGTAATTTATTTATTCGCATGGTTAATTAACATTTTGACATTAAAGTTGATGTCAGTTCGCGATAAAAAAAAAACAAACAAATTCTAACGTTAATTTCTAACTTTAAGTTTTAACTCTGAATCCTGATTCTAATTCCTTACACTAATTCAGATACGTCTTTTGATTATAGTAAGTAAGTAACTTTTCCCAAGGTCACTCGAAGATAGTACGTAAATTATAGTCGCACTAATAATAAATTTTTGTCACTAACCTAATGATAATAAGGATTCACTAATCCAACGTTGCGAACTTTTAAATTAAGAAAAAAATCAATAAAAATTGGAACTAGAATTCTATAAAAATATTCATAAAAATGTTGATTAAGTTGATGTGTATATTTTTACCACTGTTATATACTACTTATGTAGATATAAGTAACCCACACCACAATAGTTGTTAGTTAACAACGGATCGATTGACTATTAGGTAATTCAGATGAAATATAATGTAAAATTAAAAGTAACGTTCAACCATAAACTATTTATAGTTACCTGGAGATTTTGCAACTCTTCAACATTTGATGCTAATTCATTTTGTTCCATAGACAATGAACATTGTACAGAATTGTCAATTACATTTGAAGAATATTTACTCGTTAATTTTTGAATGGATTCCTCCAATAGGCTAACACAATAAACTGGATCGTTGAATTTATTAGGTTCATTGATTTTTCCATTTTCATGTTCAAACCATTGACAGATTACAGAAACACGAGTGAACAAATCTCTTAAAAATACAATCTCATCTGTTAGTTGATTTAGATTAGTCTACAATGAAATTTAAAATGAAACAGTGCAAGTTTAATAACGATTAGATGTTATTACCAGGACATTTACGTACCCTACAATTTGTATAATGATGGAATCTTTTTTATAATGGAACTTATTCAGTAAGAGCAGTTCTATGTACCCAGAGCTATAAATTTCACACTACGTACAATCGATAGAAACCAAAATGTCCCGGCTGACGAAAGTAAGTGTAGTGGGTTTCAAACAATACAATACATACCAGAAAGATAGTCAATTATACCATTAACCAACCACTGTTATACTATTATATTTCTATACAAATTAGCATATAGTTTACAGGTTTATTTATTTAGTTTCAACCTTCATAAGGAAAAAGTTAACCTGTTAATTATTAAACAAACTAAGGTTACAGATAGAGTAAGAGAAATTTAGGCAGAACTTCATAAAGTCCACGAAGATCATTGATCTATGAGAATAACATTAATGTGAATTCAATATTAAAATTTGATATAACGGCAAAATAGAAATATTTCGAGTTTTGTCACGATATATTATATACAATTATAATGTCATCGGGACCGAGAATTTCACGACAAGTAGGTGACATATTCGATCGATAACGCTACACACAGATTGAATCACGTTACATCAAATACACAATTCATGCGCACAACATAACAAACCACAGAATACAGACTAGGTAAAACTTTATTCAATAGAGTTACAAACAGTGAATTCAGAGTACAAATCAATAGGAAGGAGAAAATCACAAATTAAATAGCAAGACAGGTCTATCAGTTCATGCTCAGTGAGTGACTAACTATATCTTACTTGCTCTAACCATCTATCGAAATGAGATATGTATGAAAAAGTGTACATCATGTTACAATCTAAAGGACACATACCCGTCCCCACTTGAAAAAAATACCAAAACACAAATCACAAAAGAAATTTCGTCCAATTCGAAAAGAGAATGTGATTGGTTTACAAACAATACCACTTACATTCCCATCTTTGATTATGTTGTCTATTTGTTGTTGCTGTGGTGGCGATGATGATTGAGTTAGAGTACAATCATGCACTGCCAAATGTTGATCGTGTACAATATGACTATTGTCAGTTTGTGTTGCATTATCAATTGACAATATAGTACAACTAATAATATTTTCTGATTGATTTTGATTTTCCATTTGTAAAATATTTAAATGTTCCATTTGTTTAGATAATGCATAATTCATTTCATTAGCAGATTTAATTTCTGATTGATAAATATCACACTGAAAAAAAACACAAGAAAAACCGATACAAAACAACACAATTTAAAAAGATAATTATCAGAAGAGAAATAGTCGCAGAAAAAATACTTTCAGTAGTTCACAGATCATTAAATCAATTGACTGTATAAGGAGGACGAAATGAAGTATTTATCCATTTTATTTAAACACATAAACATTGGTACAAGGAGGGATCAAATAAATATGCGCCACACAAATCATTCGAGTTGCGTGAGGGCTGGAATACTGCCCGGGTGCCCAAAACAAATTAGGTGGTTTTCTTAGAAGGCGAATCTCTGAGCTCTTGACCTAGAAGTCTAATCCATAAGGC